ATATGCCTCCACTGATTATTTTCCAAAGAAATGTGAATATTTGCAAGTACTTACTGAATTTGCCATAAAGAGTTTATTTTGTATTAATTTAGAATAATTCATGAATTTTTTAGAAGTTTCATTCTATTATATTCATAGTTATAGACTTTCTAAAAATTGGTGCAGTCTTATGAAATAATATTTGCTCTATGGCAATTATAATGCTTTTTTTTCTTAACATTTTGTAAAAATGAATCCATTTGAAAATAAAAAGGTACTGGTCTAATTCTATAACATTCTTAAGAAGACAATATGGGAGTGCCACATACCATAACACATTTGTTCTACAACCATGAAGATGGATGAACTTGACAAAAAGTTTCAAATGTCAATAGTTCAATGATATAGAGGACTTTGCAAGAAAATGTTCCTAGAAATGGAGCATTATCAAAAGAAGTACAATGGAATTCATTATGTTGATGAATAAGTTAAGGATTGGCAGAAAATGGTTAATTTCTGAGAGAATGTAAAGACAATTTGACAGAGATGTCTTAAAGAATCACTATTAATGATGTATAGATGAAAACTCTCACTAGATGCCGAAACAGGATTTTGAACTTGTCGTTCAAGGGAAAATCCCTTACTTAAGGCTAAATGCCTATAAAATACACTATTTACTTTACTCGGGCTATTGTCTTCATCTTTGTCGCCATATTTATTATGTTTTGGCCGTTGTATGCTCCGGCCTTCTTCAGATGGTTGGAATGTCGAACTGAACCCTTTATTTCACTCACTGGGGTAGACTGTTCTAGTGCCACGTGGATGTCAGTTATCAGTTATCTCCTGTTAATTCCCTTCTCCAAGTTGTCACACTCTTTGGATCTTGTCACTGGATCTAACTAACACCTTTATCCACTGTCATATGTCCTCGAGGACATCTGTGTATGAATTTCTGGGTATTATAAACTTAATGTCTTCAGTAACCATTTTTTTACCAGAGCTCATATTGCAATTTTTGTCATTATTATCGCTTTTCTTTGGCACTCCTTATTACTGGTTCCCATATTGTATTCATTTCTATGCTTGATTGGCTCAGGAGATTTTTATGGCCCAGCTTATGTGCTGATTCCTTAAGTTTTCCAATGGTTTTCTTTGTCTATGATCTCAACCTGATCCCACAGGAGGCAGTGATCTCCCTTTTCTCTCCATATGTGGTCAGCCATGGCTGATTTTTCTACTTCCCCTCGTGTTACAGCTTTCTGGTGTTCTTGAAGCCTTACTTTGAGGGGGCAGCCTGTCTTCCCTTTATATTTCTTTCCGCAGCTGCACGGGATGGCATACACACAGTCTTTAGTCATATTGGGGAGAGATATCTACGAATTGTCATCCAGCTTTTGAAGGTTGTCCTGATGTTATATGGACTACAGATCCTTTGTATTTTCTCTGATAACCCCTTCACATAAGGCAGGCAGACTGTTTTCTGAGTGTTGTTGTCCTCCTCTTGTACCCACTTATCCTAGGTTTTGGGGCTGCTGCCATGTACCCAGGGTAGTTGTTACATTGTAGGGTACTACTTTACTGACCAATTCTTTATCTAATGTCTCTGGGTCGCCACTTATGACTTTTGCTCTGTGTTGTAAGCAGCAGATGATCCCTTTCTTTATGCTGTATGGATAATAACAACAAAAATTGCAATATGAGCTTTGGTAAAAACATGTAATGGTAACAACAAAAATTGCAATATGAGCACTGGTAAAAAATGGTTGCTGAGCCATTAGGGTTATAATACCCAGAAATTCATACACAGATGTCCTCAAGGACATATGGCACAGTGGATAAAAGCGTTGGTTAGATCAAGTGACAGGACCCAAAGAGTGTGAGTGCAATACCCAGTTAAGGCAGTGGAGAACTTGGAATGGGAGATAACTGACAACGTGGAACTAGAACAGTTTACCCCAGTGAACGAAATAAAGCGTTCAGTTCAACATTTCAACCACCTGAAGAAGGCCAGAGCGTACAATGGCCGAAACGTTGTAATAAATATGGCAACAAAGATGATAATAATGTAAATAGGGTATATAATACCTCATCTCAGAAATATAGACAGATGACTATAAAGCTTAGCTTTGTAGAACAAGGGAGTGAATATTGAAACTCTTTATTTCTGGTTAGATGAAACCAAATTAGAATTATGAACTCTCGGTATATATGGAGGAAACTGAATGCAACTCACATAGCCTCCCTATAATTAAGCACTGTGGCACAAGCCTTATATTTTGGGGCTGTTTCACTGTTTTTGGGACTAGTTGAACTAGGGAGAGAAGTGAGCAATATTTGTGTAGTCTTAAAAATAATACAAAACAATATGAATGGAAGTTATCTTTGAGGTGTCGGTGAATGTTCCAATATGACAATAACAGCAAACCTAAGGTCTTGGTGTACCCCACACAAAGTCCTGACCTAAATCCTGTCGAAAATTTATGGGCCATTTTGGAGGAACTGGAATTTATTGCCAGAAAAAAAAAAAAAAAAAAAAAATGGAGTAAAATAGCTGACAGTATGTGTGTCTATTGACCTTGTAAAGAAAAATGCTTAAAAAGTAATAATTAAGATTAAAGATTACACAATTGATTGATTATTGAGGCAAGAGGGCCAATAATTTTGACCTGTTAAAAGTTTGATATTTTCGGGTATTATTGTTGTTAAAGATTAAAGTAAAATTTTGTTGTGGGCAAAACTGCACATTCTTTCAAATCCATTATTTCATCATTTGCGAAAGAATGTTTACTGATTAGTTTTATTCATAATTATGGGAGTTGGATGGAGTCAGTTCTGATACATCTCTCTCTCATTATATATATATATATAGAGAGAGATATGCCGTAATGAGCTTTTATTGGTAGTTAATTAGGTTTTCACTTATATTGATCTTCCTCCCACTTTTGTTTTTTATGGCAGAGATAAACTTTTTTTTTTTTTTTTCTTGACACTTGATGGCAGTAAGGAAATTCAAATCCTAAAATACGTAACTTAATGTTTTGATAACTCATATCTATATAAAAAAAGAATGTGATTTTTTTTTTTTTTTAAGAAAGACACTTCCTAATCTCTAAAACAGCTCTAATCCCCTAATAACTCAAACAATTAATATCTGACCAAAATAAATAAAAGGTTTTGTTGCTGACACACAATGCCAACCTCTATATCGGGTAACTTGGGTTTTCTTTTTTTTCCTTACTTCTGCCTTAAATAAATGCTTGACAGATGCAAACAAAAGCCACACTTACCCTTCAACTTTCAAACTGTATTTGCTTTGTGGATTACAATTTCAGTTTTTTTTTTTTTACATTTTGGGGTTAAATAACACTGACTAAATATTTAGATTCATTGCTTTTGGTGACTGAAATTTTATCTGATAATTAGAAAAATTCCATTTCAGTCTCTTTGGATTCATTGACTTAGAATGAAAGGAGTTTTTCTTTTTTATATCGGGTGTTTGTATTTCTCTTATCCAAAATTCTGGGGGGTGCATATATAAGGGGATGATCTGTATCGATATACTCAGACAAATGTTCTCATCTTGTTTGTTATGTTAAAAATTGTTTTGGTCTCCAAATGATTGTCAAAACTGGTAACGTAAGAATTTCAACTAAAATCCTTTCTTCAGTTAACAGAAGTAGATTATTCCCATTACAATGTCGACACCAAGGAGACATAATTGATGCCAGTTAAGTTGACCTTGTTTGTCTCTTCCACAAAGACTCTCATCTGGCTTCAAGACATTCTACATATATTATCTGCCAACAGTCACTTAATAATAGCTGATCTTTAGTTTTTTTTGTTGTTGTTGTCTATACAGTGTGAAGAAAGGTTATCAAGTTATGACAGATGCAAGATGAGGATGCTGGTCTAAGGATAATTCCATATCTCCAAAATTCAAACAATTTTTTAAGGAATAGCATTCATTTTCATAATGATTCAATAATAAATAAAATGAGGTTGATCAAAGAATTACCAGGAGGAAGGGGGTGATATTTCAAAATTTTGGATAAGAGATTACTGTATATTTCCACATATAAAGTGACCTTTAGGTAAGATGAGGTTAGGAAAAAAAAAAGAAGCGTATTATGAATTTATCCTATACCTGTAGTATAAGATGACTGCTTATTGATTATATAAAGATGATATTGTAAATGTTTTTACTTACTGTATCCTTAGAAATTCAAAATAAACGCAATGATAAAACGATTCTATATCATGTTTTTCCTAGACATGTCTCCTAAAAGGGTAACTATTGTTTTGTTTATGTTTCGTCAAATGTTTTCTTGTAAATGTTAATTCTTCTTTTTCTTTTCCTATATCTAAATGGTTGCAAACAGCCTGGTGTACTATTTGTTTTCATTCAGTCTGTTTCTAACTTCCGCCTAAGCCAATTGAAATTTCTATTAATTTATACCCATATCAATCATGGAATCAGCAAAATGAAGAAAATGTGAAGTGAGGTATACATTGAAAGCCAAAAATTCGAACTGTGCTGCTGCTGCTGCTAGAAAATTTGATCTCACTGAGAATCTGGTAAGAGAGTGAAGAAAGAATTAAGATAATTCAAGAAGTTCTGCCAGTAATATATAAGGTAGAAATGTTTTTATTTTGTTAATTATCAGTTTATTTGATAATGTGAATCTTTTTCATGCATGTTGTTGGTTCTCACACCAAAACTGAGGTTAGCCTACCAACAAACATCACTCAGAATTTATTTTTTTTAGAATTGTAATATAAAACAACCCCTAATTTTTAAGGGTGATTTTAAGGTCATCTTATACATGGAAATATACGATATATGTATACACTATATGAAGGGGTGCAAAAAACTTATTAGCCAGACCGACTTCCTTTATTTTCGATCAAACAAGATCAATTGTTTTAAGGTTTTCTTTGTCTGGCCAAGAATATATATATATATATTTTTTTTTTTTTTTAAATCTCTCCTTTTTTCAATGTGATCTTTGCTTATTTTTCAGGGCTACCAAGAAGTGCTGACTGTGGAGATAGTCCAGTAGGGAGCATACATGATGGACGAGACCAGTCTTACCAAAGTTCCGATTCTGAATTCTACTAATACAGACACAAGACCAATCACCTGATTTTAGCTCTGATGAAGATATTGATGATAATAATAATTATGCTAATAATAATAATAACTTTGTTGTTGTTGTTGGGTTGGTGCTGTTTTGTCTAAAAGAAAAAAAAAATTTTTTTTCTGACTGATTGTCTCTTGAGTAATTTTCACTTAAATGTAGAGACTTTTGTGCTTTCTTTCTTTCTCTCTCTCTCTCTCTCTCTCTCCGTCCGTGAAGAGTGAAAAATAACTTTCAAAAAGTATTAATAATTACAAAAACAAAGGAAAAAAAATATAACCAAATGGCACGAAAAACAAATGACACTGCCACCTGAACAAAAACTTACAACTGCTGCTTTAAAACCTGTTGATCCTCCTTTTCATCTGACCCTTTCTTTACTCACTAACATTCCTCCTGTGGCACCTGCATCTGTCTCCCCCTCCCCACACACTACAACTCTTACTGCTGTTATCCATTCCCTTTCTCAATTTATACCCGGCTCCCTCCCACTTGAACAGAATGCTCCTCTTTGTCTTATTCTTATAACCCCCCCGCCTTGCTGACATCACATTTTTCTTCAACCCGATCACTTTGTCCTCCTCTGGCTGCTGATTCCCTTGGCACTTTAGCCCCCCCCCCTTGAAAATAAGTTTTCTTATTTCAATCACATTATCTTTTTTTTTTTTTCTCCACTCTTATTATTTTGGTACTTGTTGGATCCTAAACATCTGTGGGTTAAGAGGTCAGAAGGCAAACACTCTCTCTCTCTCTCTCGCTCACTTCAATCCAGCTAAGCAAAACTTCCGGCACTCTGTTGACAGCAAAATATTGCTATCAACATTATCTTTCACTATCAAAGATTTTACAAGTCTTTAATGACTAAGTTTTTTTTGTTTTTTTTTCCTGTTGTGAATCTGAGGTAATGAGCCTCACTAACCCACTATTTGGAATGCAGATGTCAAACACCTTGATCATATATTGTCTTGCTTTAACCATAGACAATCACATATTTGAGATTATTGAAATATTTTATGAAATTATTCTTAATTTGGCTTTTTGGAGATTTAAAAAGAAATGACAAAATCTAAGAAAGGAATTCTTGTAGAGCACCAGATTTTATTTAGAAAGTTTGGAAATTTCTGCTCAATATTGCCCCCCCCATTTCTAAGGCAGTCAAGACACCGCATCAATATGAACATTAGAGAGAAAAAAAAACAATGTTAGTAAGAACCAGTGATTATGTCAGTACAGCTTTGTTCATATCAACAACATTAATGGGTATTTAATTTCTTCTTTTGACTAGGAACATTTAAAGAATTTAGTTTTAAAAAAAAATGGCACACACACACATATATATATATATATATATATATATATATATATATATATATATATATATTTTTTTTTATTAGTATGTGTGCACATCTGAAGTGTCACATTTGCATTAGACATGAAGCAGCAAAGATTATATGAATGACAATCAATTGTGATATTTCTACAGTTCCTTTGTATATGGATTTTCCTCATCTTTAGTTGCATTCATCTGTGGAGAAAAGAGCTGCAGCCTCATCACACTAGGTTTTGTTGCTGTGGTTCCTTCAGAAGTAGGCTTTTTATGGGATAGAGTTACTAAGCTTGACTAGAGGGCCAAGTCTGCTCTGCTATTTAACCCCTAGTTGGAGGGAGAAAAGATGGATTCATGCCTTTCCCAAGGTAATTTGTGTGAAAGTGAATACAACGAACATGGCATGCCAAGTGAATGAATTGCGTCAAATAAGTTTTTTTTTTTTTTTTAATTCATATTGTCCTTTTACAGATAGTATATCTGAAATTTCTACACACACTAGCTTACACAAAAACAAATAACAGGACTATTTGAGCTTAGATATTTCATAAGTACAGTGCAATTCCAGTATTACTCTCTACGTAAAATAATTAAAGACCTTAGTGTTTTATCTCTATTTACAGAGAAGATTACATAGAGATGGACAATTTGCTAATCTCCAGATGGCTGACTCTTCTGGTGGCATTTATATCAATTTTTTTTTTTTCTGTAATTTGTCTGTTGCATTTCTTTTTACTTTCAAACAAAACAGTCCATGAATTTTTGGGCCTTTTGACTCAATGTTAGTTTCTTTATAATCTCAAAAGAGAGAATGGAATATGTGCCAAAGATTAATCTGTGATTGACTTGCAGAGTCACATGGTGGTCACTGTAAACCAATTCTTGAGCAGCAAACTATTGCAGTTTCTGCTCTGCAAGTGTTGACTACTCTCTCTAATCCACCTCTTGCCTATCTCATTTTGTCTGTTGCAGTCTACAGCTCTGATTTCATGGCTGATCCATATGTTCTGCTTAACATTCAAGGAAACAAAGTTGCTGAATAAATGGAGATGTTGGAAACATCTTGAGACTGATAATGAAACCAAATTCTCTGCATGCAAAGCTTCTGATCAATTGTTGTAAACCTTGTGTGCAGTCAGGGTTGCCATCTTCTGCCTGGCTGAAAGCATTGGCACCAGGACAAATTCTTGTTTCACTTTTTGCCACTTTTGGAGAATGATTTGGCTGGATGGCACTTTACATGATTTCACTGAAAAATGACTGGTGGGGAGCACTTTCTGGGTACAAAAAATATCTTCTGAAGGGCTCCTTGTATTAGCAATTCCTTCTTCTGAAGGGCTCCTTGTATTAGCAATTCCTGTCTGGGTTCTGCTGCTCTCAGCTTTCATTTCTGTTCAGTGTTGCTTGTTGAACTATTTTTCTGTCATTGCAAAAGACAGAACACAATATCCTGTCCACTTTCCTAGTATCAAAGTTAGTAGTTTTCTATTTTCTTTGCTGATCCTGCTTGAAGCAAAGTATAGCTGACTGAATGGAACACAATTTTTGCTATCACTGTAACAGACAACCTGTAGTCTAAGCTTCCTTCTTTTTGGTATAACTTATAATTGTTGCCATGTGTTGTTTTCAACAAGTGTGTGTGTGTGTAGCAGTTGATAGAATTTCCTCCTTGGCCTCAATGATGTCGTTCAAAGGAAACAACTGACCATTGTAGGGGGTCCACTCAAGATTTTCAGTCTGAGTTTTTAATTCTCCTGGTTTTTGCTTCTCACTAAATATGCTTTGTGCTTGCTACACATTGTACGAAGACTGATAAAGAACCAAGGATACTGGATAGTGTTATATAGCCAACCTTTCCTTGTCTTAGATGGATTATTGTGGCTGGCAGCAGACTCCATTAGATTTTATTCTGTTAGGCTGGTTACTCCTGCTCATTCAGTCATTCCAAGACTTATCAAACTTTGATAAGGCCACATGTAACGGATTCTTTTCTGACAATAACAATGTGATAGTCATTACATTGGAGGAAGAGATGTCCAGACAAGACACTTTTTGATACAATGGAATTAGTAGAAAACTAATGATTTTTTTTTTTTTTTAATCCAGATCTTGAAATAATGGAAATATAGCCAGACATGAATGAATTCTCCTTTGTTTCAGATGACTTCAGCCATTTGAAAACCTGCAACTTGTTTGCAGTTAGGGTTCAATCACAATTCAGTTTCATTTTGGGAAGATCAAAAAAAAAAAGGAGAAAAGAAAAAGTTTTGTGTCAATCAATTTCATCTGTAATAAGTTGTTCATACTAAACCATTCCACTTTTATAGAATTAGGAACTTTGGTTCTTTCTTTTGGAACTAGTGTACTGGATAGATAACTAATCTTATTTTAATGATAATCAGTGCAAAGTTTGAGCAAACATGTCACTATCTCTGACTCCCAATACTGACCTTTATCCTAACACTCGAATGAAGTAAGAAAAAAATCTCCACAGTGGTTTAAATCTCTCAACTAACACTTTAATCAATTGGAAATATTTTCACCTACAGCAGGTTGAAAGTTTTATTTCCAACATTGTAATAAAAGGACAACCTGGTCATGTATTTTGTGTACATTTCTAGAAAGTTTGATAGAATGATTCAGATGGATTTGTAAGGAAATTGACATGCAACTAATTTTGTTTAAAGTGTAAATAGTTTCATTTTGTGTGTATAAAATATATACAGTCATTAGAAACATAAATATATGATATTTTTGATATTGTTGGTTACACTGAGCAGATTCATTGATACTCTGACAACATTCCTCAGCTAAAAGCAGTGATCAAGATGTTTTCAGGTGTTTACTCTGGTAACATCTCTCACCACTTTGATGCAAATTTTACTGTCCAGAGTGAAGTGAACAATCTGCAACATGAATTTTAATTTTATTTAATGCAAATTAGAAAATTGCAAGAATAAGTGAATATTAAGTCGTCATGACATCTCTAAGTTTTCTTAATTTTGGTAAGCAAGAGAAGGTCTATGTGGCCACAAAGATTAGATTCATTCCTCAAATGTCATGATTTTATGATACACATTCTGGTTTCAAACAATTGATTATTTACAAAAGAAAAAAAAAATCTTCAATATTCATTATAACTGTTGAGGGAAGAAGCGATTCGACAATTTCACTTTTACATAAATTTTATAACAGATTCTTTTGTTAATTGCTTTAATAAACCCAAATCTATTGGCAGTCTAGGAAAATGTTTGGAGGGTGGGGATTGATAATTAAGGACATTGCAGGGAATTTTAAATAGTTTCATTTATTAAAATGAAAAAAAAAATGATTCAAATAAATTATTCTCTACATTACATAAACTATAATCATGGTCCCTTTTCTTTTATAAGTGGGTGGGGTCTGATGTAAAAAAAAAAATAAAAATCCTGAACATTTGACTTCCTGATCTTTTCAAGGTTTGAACTCAGTTAGCTTGACTGACTTTTAACCCTAACATCAAATCACATAACACAGTTAAGGTCTTTTAAAATTTGTTCCCACACCCCACCCCATTTTCATTTGTAGAATTACTATTTGGTTTTGATTTTCACTAAACACAATCAGATACACACATTTAACATTTTTTTCTTTGAAACCATTTTCTATTCATTGATATTAAGGTGATCTTTGGGACTACCATTTTCTATTCATTGATATTAAGGTGATCTTTGGGACTACCATTTTCTATTCATTGATATTAAGGTGATCTTTTGGGACTACCATTTTCTATTCATTGATATTAAGGTGATCTTTGGGACTACCATTTTCTATTCATTGATATTAAGGTGATCTTTGGGACTACCATTTTCTATTCATTGATATTAAGGTGATCTTTGGGACTACCATTTTCTATTC